TGTAGAGTGGATGGGGCAAGGTTTGCTAAAGAAATCTCATAAGACAGCTCTTGCTACCCTCAAAAATAAGCAGGTGAATTGTCGTGATGGGGGCGGGGGGTGATCAGTGCAACTTCCCTGGTCTTTTCCTTACTAATGCAGTATTCAATTTTCTTAAAACTTCTTCCTAATAAGCCCCCATGATCTTTTGGTGTCTTTCAAGAAAATTTATGAAGACAACCCCTTTGGAATCTCAAAAACCTGTCACCATAACTTTCTGAGCTGACCTCTCTCTAGCAAATCCCCTTGGAAGCTACTGTGTTGATTATGTCTTGCTCTCTGGATCGTATTGATAAATCCAAGATGCATCCCTGATTAAAATTTGTTCTGTAAAATTGTATTCATTAGATTCAATTTTGCTTAAAAGACTTATAGAAAGATCAGCTCATCATGGTAGCTAATATCCTTGCAATATTTTTTTAGTATCTTTTTTTTTGAAAGGTATCCTAATGAGACTGGACAAGTGTGTTACTGAGAGAACTTGTCTGCAGCTATCCACAGATTAGAGAGACATGCTTATTTAAACATACTCAGTTTGGAATAAATCCATCCACGTATAAGCTGGAACCCTAGTAGCAATACTTTTTGATTTACCCTCACTTCACTTATTTGCCAGCTACATTCCATTGAAGAATACCAAAATTCTAGACTAAACAGCAGACAAATGATCTGCACTGTTTAATTTTAAAGACTGATAGTAAAGGGTATGAACCACAGGCATAGCTGTAGCTTGAATACAATTAATTTGAAATAATTTATCATTAGGACCATAATTTTACTTTCTAAATTATTCCCTGATCTTTGAACCTTACTTGACTTTCCCCATTATAGATTCATCATTGGGACACATCTGCAATTCTCCATAGGCTAAGAACACACTTTGTAATAGTCAAATACTCAATAAATGATAGGGGAATTAAAAATAAACAAACAAACAAAAAAACATGTCTTGAGAAATGCATTACCCTAATATAGGGTGCTGAAAGGCAAAGGTGTCAGCTTGAGGACTAAGGTGTGCCTGACCCAAGCCATGGTATTTTCAATAACCTCATATGCATGCGAAAGCTGGACAGTGAATAAGGAAGACCGTAGAAGAACCAATGCTTTTGAGTTATGGTGTTGGAGGAGAATATTGAAAGTGCCGTGGGCTGCCAAAAGAACCAACAGATCTGTGTTGAAAGAAGTATAGCCAGAGTGCTCCTTGCAGGCCAGGATGACCAAACTTTGTCTCTAATACTTTGGACATATTGTCAGGAGGGACCAGTTGCTGGAAAAGGCTATCATGTTTGGTAAGGTGGAGGGTCAGAGAAAAAGAGGAAGACCCCCAGTGAGATGGATTGGCAAAGTGGCAGCATCAGAGGGCTCAAGCATGGCAACAATTGTGAGGTTAGCCCAGGACTGGGCAGTGTTTCATTCTGTTGTGCATAGGGTCACTATGAGTCAGTACTGACTCGATGGCACCTAACAACAACAATATATGGTACTCCTGCTGTGGCACTGTAGGATCAGTAAAGGACTGAAAACCACCGGTCAGCAGTTCAAACCCACCAGTTTTTCCTCAGAAACCCTATATAGGGTCACTGTGAGTCAGAACACCTCAACAGCACTTAACAACAACAAATGTGTAAGAAATCTTGAAAGTAAGGCATTTTATTTAGTCGCAGATCAACTTGTTTCAGAACTATAGTATTTACAGCTTCTTTAAGGACTCTTAATTGGGCTTTTACTATGTATGCATGTCAGCACGCACGTGAACACAAGCAGACTCACATGTGCTTCGATTTTGAGTTTCAAGAATTGAAAGTCCTTTTAATTTCATTAGTCCATTTCATACCTGTTGCATAACACAAAAATGAAGCGAGTGAATAAAAGCCTAAGCAAGGACATTTACTCCAGTTATTGAGCATACTTAGTAATATACTGGGAACACATGGAATAGCCATCAGACAGGAACTACTTAAGGAAGTTAATTATAATTATAATATATCAATATATATAAAATATATCAATATAACAATTATTGTTGTTGTTTTGTTTTAAAGCAGTAGTTCTGTATGTATGGGTAGAGAAGTGAAGACAGCAAGGTGCAGAATGTTATTGTTGTTGTTAAGTGGCAATGAATCAGTTTCAACTCATAGCGACCCTGTATAGGGTTTCCAAGGAGAGGCTGGTGAGTTTGAACTGCTGACCCTGTGGTTCATATGGACCTTGCGGTCCAGTGCTTATCCTACAGTGCCACACCAGGACTCCAAGGTACAGAAGAGCAGGTACAATATAATAACATAGGTGAAGAAACACAGACACATTCATGATTCATGCACACATACATTCACACACATACAAACACAGAACTGGAACACCAGTTGGCTCGAGGATTGGTGAACTGAGGAAATAGGAAAAGGAAGAAGGCTTATTTTCTGAACAACATTTGGAAATGTTTGAATTTTTTAATCGAGGTCCATGAGTGATCTCTTCCATTTATAACTGTGAAGTTAAATTCAATATTCTGATCATCTAGAATTTTTACAGAAAGTTAAATCCTTTAAAGAAACCTATCTTTACTCTGTTATACTTGCATCTGCTTTCTTACATTTGGGATAAAGGACTCAAGGGAAGCCTTGGTTTACCACTGTTGGTCAGAGCTTTGGTGCCCTCTTCTTTGATCTGCCCTTTAGATAAGAAACACAAGAGGTTATTCCAAACCATTTGCTTTTTTTGATATATTTTACATCTGCAAGCTTTTAAAACATTAAGTCCAGACTTCCTGGAAGAACTGACAATATATTCACTTGAAGCTGACTCGGGTCTACTTGGGTTCATATTCACTTTGGCTAAACCACAGTCTGAGGGAAGGGTGTCCAGGAATAACTCTTCCATTTTTATCCTGTTCATTCCTGAAAATCCAATAGGAGATACTTTTCTCTCCCTAAAATTAACTGTTTCATGTATAAAGCAGTATCTGGGTAAGTGATCTTACGTGAAAATACTATATGAAAACGGCATCATCTTTTATGAAACTCTAATGCTGGCCCCTTTCATTTTTTGACCTTAAATCAAAATAAAACCAAACGTACTGCCATTGAGTCAATCCCCACTCATAGCAACTCTACAGGACAGAGTAGAACCGTTCCTAGGGCTTCCAGGGGTATGAAGTCTTTGAGAGCAGGGCAACTCTTCTTTCTTCCATGGAGTGGTAGGTGGGTTTAAACCACCAACCGTTCAATCAGCATCCCACTGCTTCACCTACCACACCATAAGGGCTCCTTAGACCTTGGTGCTATTAAGTGCCGTCAAGTTGGTTCCAACTCATAGCAACACTGTATAGGGTTTCCAAGGAGCAGCTGGTGACTTTGAACTGTGGACCTTGCCATCTAAATGGACCTTGTGGTCCAGTACATTATCCTGTAACACCACACCAGGACTCCAATTGAAATGGCATCAAGTCAATTCTGACTCATATCTACCCTGTATAGGGTTTCCAAGGACCAGCTGGTGGGTTTGCAGTGCCACACCAGATGTTAGAGGGGGGGAAATTTATCATTTTAACTTTTTTTTCAATAAAGGCAATCCACAGCAAATATTCTTTAATGTTAAGTTTATAAGCTCACCTAAGCACTGTAAATAAAGTGAAAAGGGAGTCATGTTACCTAGGGGCAGGTATGACGAAGAGGCACCTGCAGATGATGCAATGGGGGCACTGTAGGATAAGCACTGGACTGCTAACCTCAAGATTTGCAGTTCAAATCCACAAGCCATTCCTCGGAAACCCTACACAGGCGCATTATGAGTCAGAACCAACTTGCCAACACTTAATAACGATAGCAACGTTAGTCTACCCTAGGTTCAAACTCTAGCTCTGTTCTCTAAAGCTATATAACTTTGGGAAAGTTTCCGCATCGGTATCATGGAAATGCTGTTATTTACCATAGGACTGTTATAAGAATTTAGTGAGATAAGGTAAGAAAGCAAGGTGCTTTGGTGGTGCTGTGGGTAAGTACTGCACTGCTAACCTCAAAGTTGGTGGTTCAAACCTACCAGTGGCTCCGTGGGAGAAGGTTGCAGCTATCTGCTTCCATAATGATTTGCCAACCTTGGAGGCCTGGGGAGCATTTCTACTCTGTTCTATTGGTTCACTAGGAGTGGGGATCAACTCAAACGGCAGTGAGTTTGGTCACAGTCTCAAATGAGTCACAGTGGACTGGATGGCAGTGGGTTTGGTTTTTCTGGGGGGTTGGAGTTTAAAGCATTTAGCTTTGTGTCAGTCACATATTATATTTGTTATTGTTGTTACGTGCCAGAGAGGTGGTTCCAACTCACTGTGACATGGTATAGTGTTTCCGAGGAACAGTTGGTGAGAGTTTGAACTGTCAAACTTATGGTTAGCAGTCCAGTGCCACACCAGTACTCCATTGTTGTTGTTAAGTGCCACTGAGTCAGTTTAAACTCAAAGCCACCCTGCTGCAGGAGTGCGGAGGAGCAGCTAGTGGGTTTGAACTGCCAGTCTTGTAGTTGGGAGCCCAGTGCTGATCCTACAGCACCACACCAGAAGTCCTAGGATTCCATTAGTTAATACTGATTAATTTTTAAAAGACAGGAATTTGAGGCCAGAATCATATCCTTTGGAACTCTTTTAGGAATCCAATACACAGAAAAATGTCCACACTCTACTTACCTTAGTCTTAAACAGGAGACCTAGTTATTTTTCAAAGAACTTCAATAAAGGCAATTAGAGAAGGTGCCAGAAATGTAGAATAAATCTAAGTAGCAGCAACATGAACAGGGTGGCAAATGAGTCACAAAAAGAAGGCAAAGGCAGCAGAAGGGTAATGTAGTCAAGAGAGGGAAAAAATGCTCTCCGGGCCCATGGAGAGGTTAACTTCAACGGTTAGTGCTGCGTCAAGCTCCAGAGCCCCTGTTCGGTACACTTGTCCATACAGTTCCAAGTGGAGCAGTGGACTTACCTAGAATTGGCTGGGACACTGCCATGGTCCTCTGAGGCACTGGTGTGGAAGTGGCAGCAGGGTGGAGGTTCATATGATTCAAGGGCTGATTCATCGCCTTCCTAGGGTCTTGCCATGTGGTGATTTTCTCTATGTGACTAAAAGAAGGAAAACAATTATCTTGTTCATTGTCAGCATCTTAATCATTATCACCATCACCAATAACAGCACAGCAGTTAAGTAACACTGAATTATTTCCTTTGAATCTGCTTACAAATGACTGACAAATTGTGTTTATTTTCATCCAAAGACAGGCTTAACCATTTATCCCTCCATCCAAGCTGGGCGCACTACAAAAATTGCAGGGCGCTCTCTGAACCCAAACCCATGACTTAGCTGTCCAGGCTGCCTCTCAGAATAGCATGCAGGTTTTCTGCTTGAATCGGGAGAGAACCCCACTTACATACATCATCTCAGTCTTTGAGTAACCCACATTCCCCAGCCTCTCAGACCCTTCACAGTTGTCAATCAGTGGAAAAGCAAGGTGTGCACTCCTCTCTTGAAGTAGAACCTGGCTCTCCTGCTCCACCAACCCTCCCACACATGCCTAGCTCATGTAATTGACATAATGAGGAAACCTCTGCCTGTCCTCAGACAAGGTCAGAGCCCTTGGAAACAACATAGTAAACACAATATTACTGAGCTTTTACTATGTATAAGGCACTGTGAGGTCCAGAAAGGTCAGTCATAATTTCCTCAAGAAACTTAGCTTCGATTGTGTAAGATACTGAATATATATAGCTAGGGGACAAACTATAGGAAGGTTGGCAAATAGTGTCAGGTTACAGAAGAACTTTGATGTCAAGGTATGAAGGTTTTGAGGTGGAAGATATGATCAGACTTTTGATTATTTTCTATTTTCTATATTCTATTGTTGTTAGGTACTATTAAGTCGGTTCCAATTCATAGTGACCTATGCACAACAGAATGAAATACTGTCCAGCCCTGTGCCAACCTGTCCATCTGTCCGTTTATCATACTGTGGTGGCTTGCGTGTTGCTGTGATGCTGGAAGCTATGCCACCAGTATTTTAAATACCAGCAAGGTCACCCATGGTGGACAGGTTTCATTCAGCTGACTTTCCAGACTAAGACAGACTAAGAAAAGGAGAGGTGGAGTATTTCTGGATCTTTTGCCATTGAAAACCTTAGGAATAGTAGTATAACACTGTCAGCACCAATATTTCTTAGAGTATGAATTAATCACAGAGAAACTATTATAATAGAAGTTTCTGCCTGAGACTTCCAATATGGTCTCAGAAAGTTAATGGGACCCCCAACTTTGTCTACCGCCTCCCAAATCACATCTCTCCTCTCTCTCTCTCTCTCTCTCTCTCTCTCTCTCTCTCTCTCTCTCTCTCTCTCTCTCTTTCATTCATATACACACCGACGTACGCGTGTCAAAAATAAACTGGTAGAAATACCTAGTGCCTTGTAGACCCACCCAATGCATCAACCTCTACTGTTTGAGATTAAAGATGAGCAGATTTATCTGGTGTCATTACTTTGTCTTATAAACAGTATCTAAGACCTTTCTATATCTAAAGACAACACATTTTAATCCCTGGATGACACAATGGTTAAGCACTGGACTTAAGTTTAATAGTTCAAACCCATACAGTAGTCTCCTGAAGATACGCCTAGCAATCTGCTTCCAAAAGGTCACAGCCTTGAAAACCTATGGAGAGCACCAAAAGGGATTGCCATAGGTCAGAATCAACTCAATGGCTACTATCAACAATAATAATCCATATCATAAAAAGGCAACAAGGTTTGGTAGCAGAAACGGAATGTCATCTCTTTGTTTGGGGCAACTAGGTTTGCCTCTTCCAAAACAATTGGCAAAGTCAACCCTACATACTTAAGACACACATGAAAGAAACATGATTGGTATTTCTGTCAAACACGTTTTCATTTCAAATGACAATGACCTCCTTTCATCTATGATGTAGAAAAACGTTCTTCCTATCATTAGACTTAATCCTAAATGTAGAAACTCTCTGATATTGGATCTTTATGTGTTTTGTTTTACATTGCTTCTGTTCCCTCATACCTAATATTGCCATTGCTAAAATTCTTCTTCAGAGTTCTTCATCCAACATTTTAAGTTGCCTCATGGGGAACAAATCCAGGGCCCTGAGTGAAAACTTCGGTGTTTTCCCTAACAAGGTCTATAAAATGAATGTGATTTAAAAAAAAACACCAAAAAACCGCTGCCTGGGTAGCTACAAAGGCTGGAGAATAAGCTTAACCGTTGAGTTTCAATCCTGTAAGCACCTCCAGCAGTCTTTGTGTCAACGAACAAGGGGGAAAAAATGTTAAGAAAAACAGATGGGAACAGAATGAACTAACAACATGAGAGTCACTTCCCTAAGCATAAAAAAAGAAGGGGAAGAAAAAAAGAAACAATGGTCTTACTTACACTATGAGTTTAACAATTGTAATTCTGTTTAAAGCTTTCATAAATCCTTTTGTCAGCCTCTGGGCATGTGAGAACAGATAACCAGCCTCCAGGGTTTGTCACAAGTCTTTGGAGTGAGGGCTCTCTTGATGAGTATGTCAGAGGTAAGTAAACTCCCTTTAGCAAAGTAATTAAGAGCTAAGCAACCCTTTGACTATTTCTTCAGGACTGTACTATTAAAAAAATCTTTCCAAGGCAGGCATGTCCTACATAAATACTTCCCGCTATGGCAACAGGCGAGGGAAAGAATGCTCCTCTTTTTCATAAACCTTTCAGAGGAGCTCCATCAGCACGGATGCTCAATAATCACGCTGTGCTGGAATCAAATCAACACCACTCTGAATGCTCTTAGCTGCCATCATGGTGGCCCTAACTCATGAGGACCACACACAAAAAAAAGCAAAACAAAGTTCCAATCTGTGACATTCCCATGATAGTTTGTGGATCAGATCTTTGTGATCCACAGGGTTTTGATTGCTTGGTTTCAGGACTTTTTTCCTAGTCAGTCGTAGTCTGGAAGCCACACTGAAAACCTGTTCAACATGATAGCAACATGCAAACCTCTACTGACAGTCATGAGGTACACTGGAAGCAAACTGAACTGGGTCTCCTGTCTTGTTGTGTGAAGTGCCATCGAGCCAGTACTGATTGATAGCAACTCTGTGTATGGTTTCCAAGGAGCAGCTGATGACTTTGAACCACCAAGCTTGCGGCTCAAACTGGCCTTATGGTCCAGTGCTCATCCTGCAGAGCATGTGAAGATTCTACCACTAAGCCATCACTACTGTGGTCAGAAAGTCTACTTTGTTGTTGTTGCTATCAAGTGCTGTTGAGTTCCAACTCATAGAGACTCTGTATAGGGTTTCTGAGGAACGGCTGGTAGATTGAACGTCCAACCTTATGGTTGAGTGCTTATCCTACAATGCCATACCAGGACTCCAAAACTTCTACTAGTGGTAGAAATAAATACAGGAGCCAGAATGATGCATGCCCATATCTAGTTCTCCCCTCTGTCTCGGGGGGGATCTCACTACATGCCTCCCATCCTACCAAATGGTTGTGACTACCAATCTAGGTGAGGGTGGATGAAACCCTGCTTGCCTAAGGAGTGTCACTGTGACTTTCAGGCCTGTTCTCAGTCTCAATGTGGGCTTTCTGGTGGGCACACCTGCCCTCACTCTGGAATCTGACCTTGAAAATGCACAACTCACCAAGTGACTGCTTGATGCTTGCTTGAGAACTCCCACAGGGCATGGGAGACTGCAGACCACTCTCTAAACTCCACAGCCCAGCCAATGCTTTTCAAGGAATTTTGTTACCAGCGGATTTGTTAATTAAAAGTGTCAGTCACTTGATTCCCTTAAGACTCAAGTATAAGAGGGAGCCTTTCATAAATGAGTTCTCACTACTCCAAAACAACTCTGAGAAGAAAAGCTCATATATTCCCAGCCTCTGCAAACCCTTCAGACCCGATATCAGGGTAGCTCTAAGACAGCTTTTGTGATGCCAAGGGTGGCTCAGTTTGAATGCAAAAAGCAAGGAAGAGAATATGGCTCACAAGAGGCACTTAATTAATACATTGTTGATGAGTTGATTTAAAAACTAAATTCTCTTTTTGTTCAAGTCATTTATGCCTAAGGCTCCCCTTCATCCCCCCCCCCCCCCCCCCCCCCCCCCAACTCTATTCTCAAACCCAGGATATGCCTGCCGGTCACTCTTTGATTCTGCTGTCTCATCTCTGCTCCCTCTCTCAAAGTTACTGAGTCATTTCCTTTCTCGGATTTCTCAGTGTAACCTTACTATTTGCCAGGGCCCACAACTGAGCTAGATTAATCCCCACTTCCCTACTACTCCCATTCCCTCCTAATTTCACTCACTCCCTGAGTCTTCTGCAAAAAGAAAAATATCTCTGCAGTTTTAAAGGTATAATGTTCTTTGGAGTTTTATATGTATGTATATATGTGTGTATGTATATATGTATGTATATATGTATGTATGTCAGGAGCCACTGGTGGACTTGAAACCACCAACCTTGCAGATAGCAGTCAAGAGCTTATCCTACTGTGTCACCCCAGGACTTTTTGTAAAGATTACAGACAAGAAAACCCTATAGGACAGTTCTACTCTGTCACATGGGGTCATTATGAATCAAAAATGACTCAACAGTACCCAACAAAAACATGTATGTAATGTATATATCAGGAGTCCTGATGTGGCGCTGTAGGATAAAGCACTGGACTGCAAGATTGGTTGGAATTTGGAGGCCGGTGATTCAAAATCACCAACCGCTCCTCAGAAACCCTATATAGAGTTGTTATCAGTTGGAACTGACTCAACAGCACTTAACAACAACATATAAAAGGAGGCTTCAGAAAGTTTGTGTAAAAAAAAGATAATGAAGCCCATTCATAAAGTCAACCTACCTATATATTTTATAAATACCTATTGTATAAATTCTTAGTCTAGAGTTTTCCTATTTGAAAACAGAATTTAAGAAAGGCACAAAACTGTTTAAAAGCACTGGTGGTGCAATGATTAAAACATTGGATAGCAATGTTAAACAAAAGGTTGGCAATTAAAACTCCACCATCTGTTCTGAGGGGAAAGAGGGAGAAAGAAGAGGCCATCAGCTACCATA